GCGCTGCAGGAACCCCGGGTCCCGCGAAGCCCTCCCCCCTGTTCGCTCACGCTGTGGGGTAGAATCCCGCGGACAGCCCCATGCCCGCCCCGCCAGACCTTGGTCTTCCCGGGTCTCCGGCGCCCCAGCGCAGCCACGGTGCGCAGCGCAGCTGAACTCCGATCGCCGTCCCTTCTACCTACCTGTCTGCACCGCTGCAGTTTACGTTCGTGATGGGCTCTCAAACTAAAAAATTCAAAAATACCTTCAAACGAGTCCAGGAGAATGGGGTTACATTTAGTATAGTTTTAAAGGTAAAGGTATGAATTCAATTCCTGTATTTTGGCTTTTATTGCAAATGCTGTTTTCCCAAAGCTCTGTGGTGCTGAGGACAGTTTCCTCACCTCCTGCATTATGTATTCTCTTCACTGCTGCCAGCAGCATACCTGCTCCACCCCCCTCACCTGGGTCTCAGGAAGGTTATACTCCAGCGCCTGCTTCCATTGGCCCAAATGAGTCGTGGTGATGTCATCCCCTTCCCCAGTGACCCTGCCAGGGGCAGGCATGCGACTGGTCCCAGGCGGTGAGGTGTGGGGGCACTTCCCATCTGGATGAGACACAATCCTCCAGAAAAGAAAGTCTCTGTCCCCACCCCTACTCTTTTGACACGCTGTCCTGAGGGCATGGTGCTGGGCATGGCCGCGCCTACACTGACGCAGTGACACGCAGGAGGAAAGACCAGCGTGCCAGGGACAGCAAAGGCCGCAGTGGAAGAACTGAGTGAGCTGCCTCCCTCAGACTCCTCCCCCTAAGTAAGCCATAAACATCCTGTGCCTGAAGCCACTTAGTTGCTCTGTAGTTGCCACTTGCAGCTCAAGGCATTGGAACTGAAACAAATCCTTAGCACCCATCCAGGTTCACCTGGTGCAGCTACTCAGCTGTCTTTCTCTTTCATCTCCTTCACCTGGAACAGTTTCCCAGTTTCTCCTCATCGTTCGTGACCTTGACAGTTGTAAAGGGTACATTTTGTAGGTTCTCCCTCAACCTGGGCCTGTCCCGTGTTTTCTCAGGTGCGGACCCAGGCCGAGCATCCCTGGGAGGAATATCGTTGAAATGAGGCGACGTTCTCAGTGCTTCACACAGGGGCCCGTGACATCCGCCCGCCCCACTCGTGATGTGAATCCTGATCACCTGGTCATGCTGGCGTCTGCCAGTTTCTCTGCCATAAAGAATCCTCGTGTCCTTTGTTGGTGGTAAGGAGCAGAGGAAGACACTCAGGGACCAAGCCAATATCGTCTGCTTTCTAGAGTTGTCACTCACCAGCCTTAGCGTTTATGATTGATTCTCACCTGGATTAACAGCCACTATGAGGTTTGCTGAGTGGTGTTTTCTATTTCCATTTTCAGCCATTCTCCATACACTTACTGTTTCACATTGTGCTGTCAAAAAAAAAAAGCTTTTCCTTATTCATTCATGTCTTCACGTAAGTATGGTCTGGGTTGTATCTGTTACCATCACTATTTGCTTTGATGCTTAAGTTGTCCCAGACTTGGAAACTGGGAGCCCTGTGTACTCTGCCCTGTGACACACACTTTTCATTCTTTGAACACTTCCTGACTTTTCTGGCACAGCAAGACCTGCAGGCTCACCTTCTACTTTTCTTGAATCAGTCATTGTTCCAAGGAGTGCAGGTCATTTTTCGAGGACAGTGGTATTTAGAAACCAAGATCTGGTGCCCAGTATGCTCATTGCTGCTGGGGCATCATTGCTTCTAGACGCTCTTGGGAAGCAGAGCTATGAAATATATGTATGTATTTACATACTTACATATAATAAATACATCCATCCATATTTTTCTTATATCTTTATCTAAACCTAGATAGATAGATGATAGATAGATGATAGATAGATATAGATAGATAGATGATAGATAGATAGATGATAGATAGATAGATAGATAGATAGATGATAGATGATAGAGATAGATGATAGATAGATGGAGAGACAAAGACCTGAGTTCACACCAATACCTGTCATCTCAATGCAGCACCTCTGGGGTTTTTTCTAGCTTTCCTTCTTTCCATCTTTATAATTCCCTCCTCAACAGTGAGAAACCTGGTTACCATTATTGTGAATATATT